TTACCTTGACAATGTTCAAAATTTATTTTTAGAACTATCATTGATTTTTGGCCTTTTTCACTATAAATTAAAATGTATCATAGAAATATGCTACTTTAACTTAAAGATATACATGTAATTCTTTAAATTGTCTTCGAAAAGAATAAAAATCACTACAAGTATTGCAATTATTTATACATTTTTTTAAAAATTTTTTGGATGATGTTTGAAAAGCGTCCGGATTCGATTATTCCGTCAAAATTCAGGACGATAACAAATTTGATAATTCATTAATCGGACAGATTCTAGGAATTTGGTCGACTGAGATGAAGGGCAGAAAAACTGGACTACGCCAATGTAAAAAGTGCATCCGTGTGTTGGGTAAGTCTAGCATTGGGAACCTACTCCTCCAGTGGGTAAGCTCAGTCACCATTAATCATGTTAATAGTTCCAAAAAAAAGAAGTAAGGCTAGCACAATTAAAAGAAAATGAGAATCATAAACAAACGGACTCTGTGAGGACAAACATTCCAGCAATATTCAAGTGATAACAAATTTAATAATACATCAATCAGACGGATTCTACAAAGTTTGGTTGACTGGGGTGAAGGGCAGAAATAATGGACTACGCCAATGTAAAAAGTGCATCGGTATGTTGGGTAAGTCTAGCATTAGGGAACCTACTCCTTCGGCGGGTATGCCCAGTCAACTTTAATCACGTTGAAAAATAGCTCCAAAAAAGAATTATGACTAGCACAATTAAAAGATAATGATAATCATAAACAAACAGACTCTGTGAGGAGAAATAATGAAATGTGAGTTGTAAGTTGATAGAACTTGGGGGATAAAAAATTGTCATTTAAAAGACTGACCAGTGATAAAAAATGCAATGAATGGCAATGCAGAGGTATTGCTTCGTAGCTGAGATCTCCCCGTCACATGCGGAATGAAGGCTGGCTGTCAGGGGACAGGTTGGAGGGGATATTTTTTGTAAGACAAGAACTGCTAACGAAACTGATCGAAACAAGAAGACAGCGTTATCTATCAAAATAATTTCAATAATAATTATTTTAACGGCTATGGTCTGACCGCTATCTGACTGCTAAGCTATGCAATTCTCGACGAGACACAGAAACAAAAACAAACACCCGAAAGGCGTTATGGATCATTAAGAGAAGAACTTCTCAAACGAGCAATAAAATGCAGCTGTCGAAACAATTATAAACCAAATTATATGCTATATATTCAAATAATTTAACATCAGACAGATTCTACAAAGTTGGTTGACTGGGATGAAGGGCAGAAAAACGGAACTACGCCAATGTAGAAAATACATGGGTGTGTTGGGTAGGTACAAATTATGTCATCTAGCATCGGGAACCCATTCCTTCAGTTGATAAACCCATTCAACTTTCATAGCTCTAACACAAAATCTATTGAGGATAGAACAATTAAACGATAATGAGAATCATTAAACGAAAAGCATTCTTTTAAAAGCGAAAATTTTAGATCAAGATGTTTGAAAAGAATTCAGAAACCATTTCTATTCTTGTTTTGCCCAAATGAACTCTGTTTCCAAAAAAAGTGCAAAATTGAAATTAATTTGTTATCAATCTCGGAAATTATTTTCTTCAAGTTAAAAACGTACATATGTTGACATGTTTATAAGAACTTTGAACTAATATCACATTGGAAATTAATTTTCTAAGGCATACATTTTTTTTTCTTTCTTTTTTATCTTATGTCATTGATAAACATTGAAAGTAGTCGCACGAGCTGTCACATCAATAGATATGCAAATGTTAGCAAATACGGCTAAGGTTATGTATTTCAGGGGGTAGACACTAATATTTATATATATATAGGATTTCGAATAATTCAAAATAAAAAAAAATAAACAATTAATTTACATAAAATAAACGAATTAATAATATTTTATAGCTCTAACACAAAATCTATTGAGGATAGAACAACTAAACGATAATGAGAATCGTTAAACGAAATGCATTCTTTTAAAAGCGAAAATTTTAGATCAAGATGATTGAAAAGAATTCAAAAACCATTTCTGTTCTTGTTTTGCCCGAATTTACTCTGTTTCCAAAAATAATGCAAAATTGAAATTTATTTGTTATCAATCTCGGCAATTATTTTCTTCAAGTTAAAAGCGTACATATGTTGATATGCTTATAAGAACTTTGAACTAATATCACATTGGAAATCAATTTTCTAAGGCATTACAGGTTTTTTTTTCTTTCTTTTTTATCTTATGTCATTGATAAACATTGAAAGTAGTCGCACGAGCTGTCACATCAATAGATGTGCAAACGTTAGCAAATACGGCTAAGGTTATGTATCTCAGGGGGTAGACAACAATATTTATATATATATTTATATATATATATATATATATATAGGGTTTCGAATAATTCAAAATTTAAAAAAAAGATATTAATTTACAGAAAATAAACGAATTAATAATATTTCATGTCACCACACAAGTGCTATAGTTGGCTGATAATAATGTAAACCACAGCCCGACCATATCACACATCTCGCTATTTTGCTTTGGAAGGAGGGGGAGGGGGGGTTGCACACGCAAGAAAAAGCGAGTTGCAAGATAAATATTAATTAGATTGGAATATGGAAATCGACAGAATGGCATTCTACCAATTCATATCAGATTTAATTTTTGGGGTTTCCCTGAGCAAAATAATGTACTATTTCAACATTATTTAAATTATCCCGAAAGTTACACTGCAATTGAATGCAACTTGACAGAATTACATTTTGTAATTTGCAAGACATCTATATTTTATTGTTTATTATAAAAAAAACACCACAAACTTAAGGTTGGATATGCTTCGCCTGAATACCTTCTATGCGTTTGTCTTTGAGGAAGTCCCCATTTAAATCTTGTATCGGTATTGGAATATATCTTCAGCGTGGCATTATATCCCTGTCTTTACATGTGTAATAAAAGGAATTTCTAGACATGGGAAATTTTGTACGGCATCCCTAAAATTGTTTGAGTATGGAACTTGGTAAGATCTGGGTTATTCTGATAGGGGTATGAACTGTGGTTCAAACATGATAAATTTTGCAGTCAAAAAGAGCTCCCAATTGAACGCTGTAGATTAAAGTAGGTTAAGAAAGAAAAGAAAAAAGAAATCAATAGAATAGAGAATGGAAGTAAGGAATGTGTCAAAGAGAAAACAACTCGACCAAGACAAAACAAAACAAAAAAACGGCAGAAAACAGCCCAAGGCCACAAATTGGTCTTCCACCCAGCGAGAAAATCCCGCACTCCGTTACTTCAACTTGCTTATAAATATTCGGCTTTTCAACTGTTGCACTTAATTTCTTAATTTTAGATTGACATCAACTACAAGTACTCGACACAAGGTACATGTTGAAATAGAATTGCCTACTCTTCCAAAGTAAGAATAAAGTCAATATCAATTTTATGGAAGCTATTTAGTCCATTCTTCGCGGTCTTATATTTTTGCTTTTGGAGTGTAACACGAAGAAACGTGTCCATCCCCCCAAACGTGTCCTATATCATTAACGTGTCCATTTGACGTCACTGAACTCCCAAACATGTCTAGTTGCTGAAAGACAATAAAACGTGTCCTTTTTATAAAAATCCAATTATGTCTATAGTAAAAACGCCACTTTATAAAAAAGTGATTCGTTATCACATAGGTTTTTTGAGAGAAGGAAATCCACTCACACTATATTAAGTGTATTCTATTTATATAGATATTGATTCAATACAAACTGATGAAAAATAGTTTCCTCCGATAATTAGGTCTTTCCACTTTTCCGTGGAAAGACCTATTGATTTTGTTCTGATTATTTTTTTTTCTTCCGCCACTTTTAATTCTTGCGAGAAGATTTTGTTTCGCAAGATGTCCCTTAGATATTTGGTACATGATATCGAACAGTTTATACGCTTTTGAAACTGACACCGTTTAACCGAACACTTTTCCTTTTAAGAGTTATCTCCCCGATCACTTTTCCTTTTAAGAGTTATCTCCCCGAACACTGTTTTACTTGTTATCTCTACTCCTTCGCAACCGTAAAGAAACCTACAAATTTATTTTTCCGAATTACTCGTTATATCATCAGGATGTCGAAAAAAATTTGATCGAAGCGATCCGGAGACTCCATATAAGAGTTATTTCCCCTTATGTATTTGATGTAATTGAAATGTATTGGCAACTAGTAACCCATAAGTGATAGACACCTAGGGTCATAAGATATGAGGTCCAGGGTCCACCAAAAAGAAAATGAGGTCAAGGTCAAAGGTCAAGATCATGTTCTAAATTTTGATTTTGGCTAATTGATGCTTCTCCTCAGAAAGCGTATAAGATAGCGACAAAAAACTGTTAGCTGCGACATGTCGTAACATATATATTTTAGTTAAAATGGTGTGTCAACATTTAATGGGAGTTTCCTGCACTCTCATGTTTAAAATAAGCTGTATTGGGATATAACTCATTGACTATATACAAAAGGGACTTAAGGTCATTTGATTTGAGGTCCTTGCTTTATGACCTTGACATTTAGGTCAAGGTCAAACGGAATTTGATAAAGCTATAGGGTCTTTTGCATTAGGTTAGTAGACATATGACGATGAAAATGTCAGACGGAAGTGACCTTTTGTAGACCGGAAATAGACATTTCCTGCACTGATTTCATTCAAAAGCACCTAGAACCATATATGTTTGGAATCAGTGTGAAGTAACCTATCAGGTGGTAAAGGAAGTGAAATTTGTAAACCGGAGGTTACAATTTATCTCCCTTATTTCAAGCAAAAGTATATAGAAACCAGATATTTTTGGAATCAGTGAGACTAAATCTATCATATGAGACCGGAAGTGACATTTTCTAAACCGGAAGTAGCAAATTATCTCCCTTATTTCAGACAAAAGTACATAAAAACCATATATTTTTGGATGATAGTATGAAGAAACCTCTGATTTGATACGACTTTGAGTAAACTGCAGGTAGCTTCTAATCAATTATTTAGATATTTAATGTGGAAAGACCTTCAATTGTTCTCTGAACAATTGGTTTTTAATTCTTATTATTTTAAGAAATACACAAATTTTATATTGTAAAGTTAAATATTTATTTAAAAAAAACATCTTTAACACTTATACTGTTTTAAAACACCAAATGTACCAATTTTCCTTCACTTTGTACCAAACAGTTCGATTACGTAGGATTACGTAGGGAATTTAACCCCTTCTTAATAGAAAGAAGTTTTTGTGTAGTCCGACTTACAGCATTGCATTGCTTGCTGTTAAGAACGTTTAACACCACCACCTTCTACTGTTGAATTAGATGGGCATTTCGACGATAAAAGTATCTTCAGTGATGCTCGAGTCCAAACTATTAATATATTAGCACACACGAATAGCATCAATAAACATTGATATCAACTGTACAAAAATAAAATACTAGTATAATAACTCATCTGTATGATGAATGCCTACGGCAATGAACAATATTTTTGCAGTTTTTAATTTCTATATTCGTCATGGATATGGATGAAATATTTTTACAACTGTGACCAACATTAAAAATTTTCACTGTATACATGTCTGAATTTCTTGTCAAAAACTAAATTTTGTATTTTTTTTTTCATAACCTTTAGTGTATGCACCTGCTGAATGTCTCTGCAATCTAATTGATTTCTTTTTTAACTCAGAAACTCTTTTAATCCCCGGGAGTTGTGCCCTAAATACCTCTGTGTTAATGTCATTGAATAGCAGTTTTCATACTTTTTTTGTGTTTGGACCCAAGCTGAAACCTGGCTAAGATAAGATAGAAAAAAAATATTTTATTTAAAATCGGGTTTTCAAAACATATAAAACACAAGCTCTCAAGAGCTTTTTTCCGACAACACTTCATCTTTAAATTTGCCGTAGACGTTACTGTCGTCAAAATGAACATATTAGCGCTAAAAAGATTAGAGACCTTTTTGCGTCTTTTAAAAAGTGAACAAGTTTCGGTGGATAACAACTGTCGGAAACGTTTGTGAGATGAAAAAATCGGACACGTTTGAGCGAAGTAATTAATTTTTGGACAAGTTTTGGGGATGTGAAATTAGACCAATGACTATAAATGCAGTATTTTTGAAACGTCTAAAACAACCAGTTGGTGTATTAATACAAGACTCTTAAATCATTCACGCACTCCACAAAACGCAAAGCAACGGAACAACGTTTCTACTGATATTCGCCATAAAGTCAATTCATGTATCCTGAAATTCTACTCCTGGACTCTTCTCTGAAATGGTTTTCGTTGTACCAATGACTATTATACTGGTGGTACAAAGCAACGAAACAACGTTTCGACAGCAATTCGTCATCAAGTCAATTCATGTAAACTGTAATTCTACTCCTTGACTCTTCTCTGAAACAACTTTGATTGTTATTGTAAGTCCACGACACCGCCATGACAGGTTAGCCTATATACATCGACCTACCAGCATTAATATAGTTATTCTTTCTACTAGTCATATTTTCTAATCGTCATGTGGTTTACATTAGAACGTTGATAGACAAGATTTACTCCCTTAACATTGACCCAGATACTACCGCCTTTTTTTTAAGTTCAGATCGACACTAACAGTCACAGACCTTTGTATGCATGCTGGAATAACTTCAGGGGTGCACCGTTCGTAAGAACTGTCTATACTGTTTAAAATACACATAGATATAGGGTTTGGGTCTTTATTTCGTCTGTTATCAAAATTCAACGATACATCGATTGAATAGGATCCAGGCTGGAGCACCGTTATATTTGTGCCGGTTTTGTCTAATATGAGAAATGATGCGGCGAGGAATGTCCGTGGAATTTTACCGGACGTGTTTTGAATATTTTGATTGTATGAATCGAAGTTGACCTTCAAATTGACAAACAAAGGTTCCTGTGCTGAAACATGGCGTGTGCCATTTACATAATCTATAAAGTAATACAGTCCAACACTTACTGCAACACTAACTATTGCATTTAGTAGAACTACAAATATATAAAGAGACAATCCTTTGCATCGTTTTGCAATACTTTGTTTTTTCGAAGATAGCTCTTTTTCGTCACTACTGTTTTCGTCTGAGCTATTTGACTTGACGTGAATGTTAGTGCTTACATGTGTTTCACTATCAATATCATCTCGCGGGTTGAGGACTTTAAGACTTTTAGCGGAGTGATTCTGACAACTTGTACCATGTGTCATTCCAGCATTCTTGGAAAGATTCGTATTTGCTGTCGTTTCTGACGTTGGTTGTTGTTTTTGCAATAGATTGATGTTTTCGTCGCTGTCATCAGAATCTGGAAAATAAAAATTAATTAGTCATCAATATATATAACGTTAAAGAATAAAAAATACAATATTTATATAGACAAACTATGTTTTAGTTGTTTACGCTATTCGGTATGCGGATCCTTTGTAAGCAAGAAACAGATCCTTGTTGGCAAAAATGGATGAAGATTAACAAAAATCATTGATACTAGTAAATTCCAAACTGGGAGGTGTCTTTTTTATTTAATAGTATAAGTGTTATATCACCGAAAGTAGGCAGTAGTTTCCATGTTATATTTTCCCTGATTTTTTTTACTGAGGAAATATATGGGAAAGGTTTGCCAAAAATCTGGATATTTGAAAATCGACAAATTTAAATAGCAATTCGTTGTTTAAATACATTAAAATTTTAAACTTTCATCTTGGGCACTAAATTAATCGAAATATGGCTACTACGGGGCGCCGAACGGGACTCTTGTGGTTTTGTACTCGAAATTCAATTTTGTACGGACAAAAGTGAGTTTGTTCAACAAAAATGAGTTCAGTTTAACAAAATTTGTAGCATACTACAAATTTAAATTTTGTCATACAAAATTATCTTTCAGTGGACAAAAGTTACTTTTGTCATGACAAAATTCATTTTTGTATCACAGACTTTACTTTTGTTACCTAATTTGAAAATTGGGCGACAAAAGTCAATTTTGTATGCAATTTAGTTTAGTTTGGATTCTGTGACCTAATTTGCATACAAAACTGAGATTTTGTCACAAAATTCAATTTTGTGTTTATTTTTGTGTAGACAAAATTGAGTTTTGTTAAACAGAAGTGAAAATTTAACACAAAAGTCAATTTTGTGCCACAAAAGTCCATTTTGTGTCACAAAAGTCCATTTTGTGTCACAAAAGTCCATTTTGTGTCACAAAATTCAATTTTGTATGCAAATTAGTTTATATTTGCATACCTATTTGACAAAAAAATTGAAGTTCTCATAAAACAAGTCTGTATCACATAGTTTTGTAAGACAAAAATGATTTTGTTATGACAGAATTGAATTTTGTATACACAAAATTGATTTTGATTACAAAAAGTTCAAGTCCCATTCGGCGCCCCGTAGCTACAGCCGTAATATTCCAATTTACGGCAGCACACAGACGGACACCGTGTGTTACCATTTCATCGCAAAAGAATAAAATGTATGCAATATAAGCAATGCAATTGAATATAAATATACTTTTTTAAAATTCAACCTTGAAATAGAAAGAATTGGTTTACAGGGGCGGATTTACGCGGTAGTGAGGAGGGCGTGTACGCCCAATTGACCCCCTCATATGCGTTGAACCTGTTGGGGACCTTGACAGATCAAAAACCTCTCGGGTATTTTTCACGTCCCCCGGGGAAATTCTTGGAACCGGCCCTGGTGATATTGTGTAACTTCTAACTAATATAAGTTTCATTGGCAAATGCGACGCAAAGTTATCTATATATTCTACCACAATACCCTATTGATAATCCACTCTAGATGGATACATCTTATAACCTAACCGCCTGTGGGTATCAATCACCATCAATTATAAGGAATTAAATAATAAATCTGTTTTCTAATGAATTTATGATGAACTCCCCAAAAACTACTGGAAATAGACTAACATGATGGGAAATAACACACGCGACAATTCAATCAACGTGTGATAATCGGTTAAAAGTTTCTGAAACTGCAAGGTAAGGAACGGTTTAAATGCTCAAAAGAAGAGAAAAAGTGAAAAGTTATATAATGTTCTTGTCTGTATCAGAATAGTCATCTGATATGATTTACCGGTGGGAACTATTTCCTGCTGTGACAATTTGATTGATGCGGCATGTAACGAAAAAGCACAATTTAAAAACTTTAGATATACCCACTTTCGGAACGTATGAAGACGGTTTGAGTTTAGATATATATGAACGAATATAATAAGGGATGGGTAATGGTGTGATCATGAACACGTTAATAAATGTGGAATAGGAAATCAGGATGAACGAAAATAATATTTAGACTTGAATGGCGTGATTTCCTTATTTGTGCTAAACACATAGAAAATGACATTTCAGATCGGACGCACATGAAATAATTATACGTTTCATGAGCGTAATTCTCTAAGTAAATCTGAAAAATTCAAAGGAACATAATTATACTTAAAATAGTGATAAAACAAAAATATATAATTTACCAATTATACGTGCGCCACACGAGGCGCCACATCTGTTTTCTATGTTAAATTCATCTTCATCAATTGGCCTGGTACTTCCATGTCTAGTAAAAGCAACAGGGTTGTTTCCATCCATAATCTGAGATAAATTTGTTCGTCCTGTCTGCATTAAATAATCGCTCTCCAATGAACCAATTTACATTAAACGTTGATATATATGTGAAGTTCAAGGCAGTGTATAAAAATAAAATAGAAACTTAAATGGTGTTTTCCTTTCAATGTTACATGTCATAAGAAAATCCCAATCTATTTATAACATTATATGGTGAGTTTGTCAATATTGTTAATCCTAAATTACATCAAGTATGTTTATATACAGTTTTTTTAACGGTCATACATAAACAAGTCAGCAACCACTTCATCTGTTTCTTTGTCTATAACGGAACATGTAACATTATGTGTTCATTAGACGACTATAATATAATTATATATATTTAGATATAAAAATACCTATGTGCGTATAAATAGACAAAACTGTATTTTTATATTAGGAAGCAACAATTTAACTTCAAAGGGGGGTATGGTTTTTTGTCTGAGTCAGAAAATTTTTAACATTTTTTTTCAGTTTTTCGGCGCTATCAATCAACTTATTTTTTTCAAATTTAACACTATAAGGTATGGGGAAAATCTGGATTCAGAATATTTTTTTTCTTCATCTGCTTGACCACAATTATTTTTCTCATCAAATTGGGGATCAGAATATTTTTTTAGGAAAAAAACCATAACTCCCCCCCCCCTAAAAAATTAAAATGTACCATGGAAATATGCTACTTTAACTTAAAGATATACATATAAAACTTTAAATTGTCTTTGAAAAGAATAAAAATCACTACAACAAGTATTGCATTTATTTAAACATTTTTCTTTAAATTTTTTGGATGATGTTTGAATGGCGTCCGGTGTCGATTATTCCGTCAAAATTCAGGACGATAACAAATTTTATAATTCATTAATCGGACAGATTCTAGGAATTTGGTCGACTGAGATGAAGGGCAGAAAAACTGGACTACGCCAATGTAAAAAGTGCATCGGTGTGCCAATTGGGTAAGTCTAGCATTGAGGGGATGGACAGGGGTAGCAATTCGCACTTCCCTCCCACCTTATTTCCACTTCCCTCCCCCTAATTCCCACTTCCCTCCCCCTATACTCCCACTTCCCTCCCCTATATTCCAACTTCCCTCCCTAATTTTGTAAAATGTACATAGTCTTCATGTCAGAAAAAGGTAAATAAAGTGTAAAACCAATTAAAACCAAGGCCAACAGAGACAAATACCACAAACAACATAAAAATAACCAAAAAAGAAAGTGCACATAAAGCCAAAAATAAGCGAGCAAATGCAGAGAATCTTCAGGGAACACTGACCAAAAGTACCTATAGATGGGTTGGGAATGACCAAACAGACCAGGATTAACCTACCACCTCCACTTGCTTGTTCCAATTCCGCAATATGACAGTTGTCATTTACTTGTTTCTTAGGTGTGATGTTTTTTATGCGCCTGTCCAAAGTCAAGAACCGTTGGTCATTTATTATGTGTCATTAAAAGTTTTAGTTTACTATATGACGAATTACCATCGTTCTGTAACCATGTAATATATATATTCAGTTCAAAATAAAAACAATGTACAAACCTTCAGTGTATACATGTATATGCATTGGATTATTAAAAAACACAAATTTATACATGTTCATGCAAAAATAATTTATGAACTATTGGGTTTAAACAACACAAACAACAATTTCCAAAAGACCAAAAAGTGAAAATTCATTTAACAATTTTTGTAGTCGTACATAATTATCAGTGTAATATTCGACAGGGTACCAATTTTGCTGCACTAGATATGTGCATATTTTGATTACTAAAATATCTTCAGTAGTGGTTGAGGTCGAAACGTTGGAAAACCAAATAAACATACTCAAAACAATGTAGAGCACGAGGAACCGAAAAATGCCTTAATTGGATAAGCCAAAATCAGTAAATGTTGAAAACTGGTCATATAGTTAACTAAAACTGCTAACCACACAGGATATATTAATGACCAACAGTTCCTGACTTTGTGTTTATTCTATATATCTCAACTTGTTCGATTCGCTCGTGTATGTAACAAAGTATTTGAATTTAACGAAAGAAATCTCTGCATTACTGAAAAACTATTACACCGGGGTTTTCGATATCACAAACTTGTCAAAACATTTACTAAATTGTATCTTCGGTACAAGGGCATCTGTCGTAAATATAAATCAACGTGCAGACATCTTATACGTTCAGGTATTTCACATCCCATCTTTTATGGTAATATTCTATACAAAGCACAAAAATGTCGTCATTCACCTCAAAAGCTAACCAAAACCTTTAAACAGACTTATAAAGAAGGAATATAGTTACGATACTATTGTCAGGTCATTTAAGATGTCATTATTTGGAATTAATATTGATTCACTCATAGGGTCTTTGCATCGGAAATAAACACATTTATTCTAAAACCAGTTGCTGGCATGATATACGGGTTGTGTTCTTATATCGTATATTTTATGATAGTATGATACAAAATCCCTAACGGGAGGGATTGTGCTTGATTTTCATATGATGAAGACATAATCTTTCAATCAGTTTAATTGAGGTCTGGAGCTGGCATGTCAGTAACTTGCGAGTAGTGCTTTGTTAATTTATGTTGATTATTGTCATTTTGCTTAGTTTCTTCAGTTACCCATTCTATCATCGGACTCGGACTTCTTTTAAACTGAATTTTACTGTGCGTATTGCTGTGTGTTTGCTTATTCCACATTGGCTAGAGGTATAGTGGGAGGGTTGAGATCTCACAGGACATGTTTAACCCCGCCGCATTTTTGCGCCTGTCCCAAGTCAGGAACCTCTGGCCTTTGTTAGTCTTGTATGTTTTTTTTTTATTTTGGTTCATTTATATGTTTCGGAGTTTAGTGTGACGTCCATTTTCGCTGAACAAGTATACATTATTGTTTAGGGGCCAGCTGAAGCCCGCCTCTGGGTGCGGGATTTTCTCGCTGTGTTGAAGACCCATTGGTGGCCTTTGGCTGTTTTCTGCTCCTTGGTCGGGTTGTTGTCTCTTTGACGCATTCCCCGTTTCCATTCTCAATTTTATTTGGTTTCCACTTTGGACAGGCACACAAAAATCTGTGGTTGGGTTAAACATGTGATGATTTTCTATAAATTGTTTGAAATTTAACAGTGATATCATACTTTAACTTTGTTTAAACCTGTTTATTTACTTTTGACTTTAATTATTTATCCCTTGTAATTTTTTATTAACTGTGTATTTGCATTCAGGTGTCACAGGTCAAATTTATTCGTTCATTGTGTGTTAATTTACGTTTTTTGATTGAGTTAAGCCTTCTAATTGATATTTTATAGTGTGTTTTTCTATGTTGTGATGTTATACTATTGTTTCAGAAAAGGGAGAAGGTTTGGTACCATTAAAACGTTTAATCCCGCTGCAAATGTTTGCACCTGTCCTAAGTCAGGAATCTGATTACAGTAGTTGTCGTCTGTTTATGTAGTTCATACGTGTTTCTCGTTTCTCGTTTTTATATAGATTAGACCGTTTGTTTTTCGTTTGAATGGTTTTACACTAGTAATTTTTTGGGGCCCTTTTTAGCTTGCTGTTCGGTGTGAGCCAATGCTCCGTGTTGAAGGCCGTACCTTGACCTATAATGGTTTACTTTTATAAATTGTAACTTGGATGGAGAGTTGTCTCATTGGCACTCATACCACATCTTCCTATATCTATGATATTGATAAAAGTGATCAAAAGTGGACGTTGGGGCTAGTAGCTAAGGTCAGCTGAAGTATTTCTTGCAGACTGTTAAGTGTTTAGGTGATATGGTTTGTTTTGTAAATAATACCATGCAAATCAGCTTCCTCTTCGACGAGCTGTTGGTAAGCCACCATCCTTCTTCACTGTAATAATCATACGTTGAATCTTTTTTTCAAACACACAAACTTCAAGCTCGTAAAAAGATATGCCGTGCTTAGAACAACGATCTGATCATTAATGCCCATGCTTGAGGTTTGTTTTGAATTTCTGAAAAAGTGTTCCCTGTTGCAATGAGATAGATGTAATAATTATCACCTGCAGTCCTCTCATTTTTTCGGTAAATGTGTACCCCTGCGACAATCGGAGCCATGACGTAAGTATCTGTATAAGAGAGGCGAAAGATACTAAAGGGACATTCAAACTCACAAGTCAAAAATAAACTGACAACGCAATGGCTAAAAAATAAAAAGACAAGCAGACAAACAATAGTACACAAAACACAACATAGAAAACTAAAGACTGAGCAACACGAACCTGACCAAAAACTGGGGTTGATTTCAGGTGCTCCGGAAGGGTAAGCAGATCCTGTTCCACATGTGGCATCCATCTTGTTGCTCATGTAAGTAAAAACCCGGTGATAAGCCTAATTCGGTAGGTCACATTCGGGGAAAGGGGACGGGATTGTAGTTACGACAATTGGAACATATCCGTTGTCATCTGTGAAACGGATATTTCATAACGGTCAACCAACTCGTGATGGCGACAGTAAAATTTACGAAGGGACGATTTCAACTTCACAACTTGGAACTCTTGGTTTAATAGCTTCTTTGTGAGCAGCAACTCTCTATCAAGAAAATCATGATAGGAAATACAAGCCCTGGAATATCGTATCAACTGGGAGATATATACTCCGAATGCAGGTGCTGCTGGAATGTTGCTACATAGAAATCAAAAGTTCACAATTGGGAAGCTGAAATCATCTCTTTTGTCGTAAAGTTTTGTTTTCAACCGACCCTCATTGTCAATTTCTAGATATAAGTCAAGATATGAGGCCGACTTAACTATATCTGTTGTATCCTTTATCTCAAGTTCGATGGGATAGATGCGTTCAACATAGTCACCAAATTTTGAATTATAGTGAGAGAACATCACCTATATAGCGGAAAGTGAAGTTAAAGGATACTGCTAACTTTTTTCTTTCTTCCTAAGAAGTTTCTGTATGAAGTCAGTCTCATATGACTAAAGGAACCAGTCGCCAAGAAGAGGGGCACAGTTGGTTCCCATGGGAATGCCGATTGTTTGTTGAAAAACACGTCCTGCTATCTAAATAGAAAACGGAAACGGAAACAGATTCCGTCGAAATCCGGCACCGGACAATTTTAGATCATTTTAGCCAATTTAGACTTATTTAAGATTTGAAATTGTTGTTGTTGACTACCTTAGAAGGTCTTAGAAGCATTTAGGTCCATTTAGGCCATTTATATCTGTTTAGTTTCATTCTCATTTTGAAAAATTCCACTCCCTTTACTCCCGGTCCCGCACCCCTAATTACCGCTTCCCGACCCCCTTACTCCCG